TCTTCCTCCATCATACATACTTTTTTTCTATTCTCATCGCAGATTTGTTTTCTTCCAACTTTGCTTGATTTCTCGTAAGCGCAATGATGTTTCAATTTGTCTCTATTTCTCTTCTGCTCTAATTTAGCCAACAACAACTCTTTTTTCTGTTGACTGGTATTCCCTGAGACTGCTTTACTCTGAACTGAGACCCTAGACCGATGTGAACTTCGAGGTTTTCCAGCACCTTTCGAGGAAGCACCTTTGTCCGCCATTTGACGTATCTCATCAACTTTGAAAAAAGCCTTTTCCAGGAAAACATTTGAATTTTTGATATTCTCGCAACAATCACCTTTCTTTTTTGGTTTTCTATGGCTTTTTGACTGTATTCAAGAACATTGAAGAGCTCATTTTCCAAATTACGTCTTGATTAAAAAAAGTCATGTACTTTCCGGCCTAATTCCTGATTACTTGTGACAAACTGTTACGATGTGCTTCTACAATTAATTAGAGGGACGTATCAAACTTTAATTCAATACAAAAACGGCATTAAAGCACTGTAACATAAAAGCAAGCAACAACTTATACAACCACTACAGGGCCAAGCTTCTGTGCTAAAGACCTGTATAACTCGGCTAGGTGCTCCTGCAATTTGACTAAGATGAGAGTGTGTTGCTTAAAGAGCGCACTTTTCTTCTTGGCCAGCCTATTTTTTTCTTAGTCGCAACAAGCGTACTGTGGTTTTCGGCGTATCTGCGAGTGGACCGGAAAGCTTTGATCTCCAGTTTTTTGGGCTGGTGTAATGCCAAGTACTGTTTTCGCAACCTCTTATCCTTAGCTTAACTTTTCGATACCAAATGATTGACTATACTGATGGTTAGAATACCTATTTTTTTTATTTCTCAAATGTTTCCTCAGTTCCGGTGCGTTAACAACAGACGGTGGCACTAATTTTAGTCGATAGCGTTTTAGGATGACTACAAATTTATCTTCGGACAAATTGATCAAATTTTTGCTGCGATGGTTACTAACTGAGTTATTTATGACGTCGTGCCAAATCACGATATTAAAACTTAGACCGGTTATGGCTAAAAAAACATCAACAAACTGATTGCGGTGTGATGCGAGTAGCTTTTATAGTTCGTGATGCAACGAGCTTGCACCGACAAAAAAACCATTAAAGGTTTTATACCCCAAAAAAAAACAGACGAGGAGGATAAAATGATTTCACAAAAATTTTCAGGTAGACTAAGGAGTTGTCAAACAAATTAAGTCAAAGTCCCTTCAACCACTCGGAGTAGACCCGAGGTCGCCCGAGCCTAAACTAATTTAAACGACTGGGGGTTTTCGAATCGATCTAAATTCGACTGAAACTTTCAAGCCTTTGGTCGATGGCGTTACGTTTTGTCAAAACGTCCATTTTTCTCTTTTTTTTTCGTTTTTTTTTCAATTTTTTTTATAAATGGACGTTTACCGGATTCGAACTAATTGAGTCCAAAATATCGGCCCGAAAATTCTCAAAAAACTGTAAGACTCACTTCATTGTTAGCGTCCAAAATATTGGCACAAAATTTTCAGAAAACAATGACTGACTTGCTTTTTTTAAGTCGAGTATATTTATCAAAAAAACTGTCTAGTACATGCTACCGTGTTTTGGTTTTGCTTTTGTTTATTCATCAACAATTTTGAAGGGCATCAAGGACTTAGCACATATTTTGAAAATGATTGCAAAACAGACAATTGTAAAAAATTTAAGCGTCAAACTTGGTTTCGGGTCCGTCTTACAGTGTTTGTTCGCTGATTTACTCAGCATTGATCACTGCTGTAAACTTGGGAGTAGTCGCTCAACTCACAGGTGGCACCCACAATAAATCACCTCGAGTCACTGGGTATTCGCACCGAGACAAACCCAGGATACAGGGAAGTCGCCCAACACACACAAGCTAACTGTTCCAACACAATGGGGAGTCGACCCGAAACCCACAAAGGATATCCGTTCAAAAAATTCTCCGTTAGCTATAATTGAAGCCAGCGACCTGCCCTGTCCGTCTACTGGCTACTGTACGGCTACACAGAGTAATCGGAGAGACACTGTCCTGCTACTGTAGAGACCCTGTCAGGCACTTGTCCTGTCCGGCTACTTATCAACGAGACACGGTCCGACACTTGCCCTGTCCGCCTGCTGTAGAGGCACTGTCCGACACTTATCGTGTACTCGCCTTGCCCTGTCCGGCTACTGTATTCAGCAAGACGCTGGTTTCCAGGTCGCGGCACAAAATTGTACTAAGCTTCTGGTCGTTTAAAACTGCTGTCGGGCAAATAGTTTCGTTGAATCGGAATTGGCACAAATTTATTTTTGAATATTGAAACGGTTTTTCCAGCTTTTAACATTCAGACAGAATATATTCTGTTACAATGCAACGAATTTTAGCGTTTTTAGCGTTCGAGTGCATTCACACTTTGGCAAAGCACGTTTAACAGGATAACGCTTTTGGGAAAAACTGAATGAGTAAAACTTCGGTTCTACAGATTTTCCTAAACGACGCACGCCAATTATGACGCAATAGCAGTACCAGTCACTTTTATAATTTGATCCGACTGCCTTTTAAGGTCTATGGAGCAGTAGTAAAATGACAAAATTAAAGTAATGAAATTTAAAGAGGTTTTTAGTTTCAGATTTCTTGAGAAAATCATCCTCCCACACGCCATATTAATAACAGAGTGAAAATTTTGGTCCTAGTAACAAATCAGTTACAGCAAGTAAGCTTCCTTCAGCCAATTCGAAACGATTTAAATCTCCGCTTACGCGCTAATAGCGCTAATTATATAGCGCGTTAATTGTCCCAAATTGCCCTAAATGGTAATTTTTAAACACCCATAACTTTAAGAAAAATATTCACAGGTGAAATATCTTTCCAAACTTAAGCTCAAGACATCAATACTTTTTGAATGATACAAAAAGATCCCGTCAAAATGTCTAGTTAAAAAGTCGAAGTTTGTCTGAAGAAAAAACCACACCGAGCACAAATGTTCCGCTACTTTCGTTAAGAAAGTCGGAGCATTGAAAGTCTGTGTTAATAACCTTAGCAATGGCTGTTTTTAATAGCTGGTCAATGATGAAAATAAACACTTTCTCAATGAACACGTTTTATCGCAACAATATTCGCTACTTAGGTTGAAAAAAAAAGATAGTTCAACACAAGCATTGCTTGTGTAATTACATTTTTCAGCTGATGACTTCCGCTGATAAAAGTTTTCAGCCACATGAAAACTGCACATGGAAAATATATGAGTAGCTTTTATCGAGAAACCATCCAAACTTTCGTGTATAATTTTCAGCTTAGCAAATCAATATTCGAGTTTTTAGTGGTTAATGGAGAGAAACTTGGTCTTTGCTTGCATTTCTTTGATTTTTTTGTAAATTTTTTCACCCAAATTAGGTGCCAAAAACAAATATCGTTATGGGTCGAGTGATATATCATTGTTAAAGCCCTTTTCTTGTGATTTGAACGACTTTGAAAAACTTTTAAAAAATTCTCTGTTTTCAGAAACACTGGCTGAATTTTTCGAGTTTTAGTTTGATTTCGAGCAAGTGAAGCAATTGAGTATTGCTCATTAGAAGAAAAATGTCATAAAAGCTTTGGATAATTGGTTGGATTTTAAATACTAGAATTTAACATCATTTAGCGCTTCCTCGGCAAAAAAAAAATTAAAATTTTCTTTCGAATTGTGTAGTGCGAACTATTCTATGCTGCTTGCACAGCAACCGTCTGTTGATTTTATCAATATATTATTGTTTTTAGAAATTAAAAAAGTTGATGACAAAAGATCAAAAAATGGTTGTCAGTATTTTTCTTACCTACTTATAAAAATGGACTAAAAACTGTTTGTGATAACTATAGGCCTTTTTATACGTTTCTACCTGGTAAACGCAAAGTCTTCGAAAATATAATACATCACGAAAACTTGTCACGAAGATGAAAGGTAAATCACCGCATGTTTTGCATACAGTTTAAGATATCCAAATTATGAAAATTTGAGATCTCAACTCACAACCAGATCTCAAAATGTATAGCTTAAAATAGCTGATTCAATCAGCAGAAAATGCTGAGTTGATTGCAACGGGAATCAGATAAACAAATTTGAGCAGTATGTGAATGAGCTGACTAATGTTTGTTCAAGCAGTCTTGTGACAAATTTTGCAGATAGATTTTTTTACGCCCGTGTCTGCCAATTGCTTGAGTTTGTATCAAGATTTGCAGAATAACATTGAATGTTAGATAAAGAACTATCAATTGATTTTTCTGAACGCATAGTCCTTTCTTTACTAGAGAATAGCCACTTCCTAGCATTCTATTCAAAAATCATAAACTTGAATTGAAGCAACAATTGAAGTTCATTGGCGTTGTTTAAAAAACGAATCTTCATTTAAAGCAGTATATAGTTCAACTTTAAGAAAAAACTTTAAGAAAGCAATTAATAAGAAAAAACTTGTTAGACTTTAAAAACTGAGGAAACAGTTTTGCAAAATGAATTTCTATAAGATGGCTTACAAAATAAAAAGAAAATAAATAAAGAAGAAAGGTCTGAAAATCGCAACTTACGCATTCTTTAAAATAGCAGATAGATAAATAAAATTGAAAAGCGATCTTACGATTTACTCAAGCAAAGAATTTTACGTGAACGAATTGATTTAAATCTTGATGTAAGTAATTAGCATTGGGTATGCGCGCTCCACCATCAATAACTTAAAATCAAATCAAAAATATCAATTGCTAGCCAGAAAAAAACAACGTTTTCAAGCAGCAAAAAAAAATTACTTCGTTTAGGTTAGGAACATCTAGAGCAAAAGTTAAAGAGAATTTTTTTTCTAACTTTGATACAAGTTTCACGATTGAAGTAATGCAATAAAAAGTGACAAAATTTTTACATTAAAATTGAGAAAGGTACATACTAGGTTCAAAGTGGTTCATTCTGGTAAATTTTGAAAACAGGTGGAATAAAAAAATTACTGAACCAGTAATTTCTGAAATTCCATTTAGTTCTGAAGGAAACTATTTTCAAGATGGATATTTTCACAATCATATTGGTTAAATATAGATGGCAAAAGATTGTGCATTGAGAGTTAGATATTTGCTTCAGTTTTTAGTGTTCGCTCGACCTCTCAGCCTTCAGTTCGAATGTTTCCGCCCCTCACTGTTGTAGTCTCATACTTGAGGTAGCAGCACCTGTTGTGGCAGCTTGGGACTGTCCAACTTAATGCTCAGGTATCCTCCCACCGCACCCGAGGGATGTGCAAAGCTGCCCACGTCCAAACCAGCCGGGTTGCCATTTGCTTCCATTTCTTGGTCAGCTCTGACGAACATTTCATTCACTAGAAAAAAAAACCTAGTTGGACTTTATTCTATCAATAGAGTCCAATGAAGAAGCTGAGAAGCGGATAGAAGGGGGGAAGGGGGGGATCGGCACTTTTTCAGGAATTTGTTTTTTATAGATTGTCAAAGGGTAATTAAATCTGTAACACCTTAATAATCATCTTTAATCAAACTGGGGACAGATTTAGCCCCTCACTGCCCTTTGGTCCCACGAATAGCTTCCCCTTTGGTACTACCTTACGACATCTGTCATGATGACTGACACTGGAAGTTTTCTGAAACCGCCGCCGTCGTTGCCCCCCCCCCCCCCCCCCCCCCCCTACCCCCCTCAATAAAATCTAGATCCGCCCCTGGATCAAAAATTACTCCGTGTAAAAGTTTACGGTTAAAAATTTCCTCCAGAAATTTTTTTGAAAGATCACAAAAAGCTTACGAAGCCTAAAATTTTTTCATTTTTGTTCAAAGTTTGAGTCCCTCTAGTGATATACGAAAAAAAAAGATTCAATTTGAATTTTTCATGGACTTTAAAAAAAGACAATTTTTTTTTACAAAATTCAGAGTTCAACGGTTTTTAAACTTTTTTTTCACCCAAAACAGTTTTCTTCCTCATATGCCTTGTTTTTATTAACACAAACAAACAAAACCACAAGTCGGCAATAAGTCATTTGTTGAGTGTGCTCTTCTTGATTCACTAAAAGCTTTTAACTCAATGGTCAAAAACTTCTAGAAAAAACTAAATAAAAATAAATATTAGATTAGTTAAAATCTTAAGACTTTGATTCATCTGCCATGAACTGTATTAAGAGTTACCTGATCAACAGTCAGGATTGAACTGTCTTTTTGGAATAGAAGCAAATTGCCTCGTAGTAGTAAGAAGACGTCGTCAAGGTCAAATTTTTCAATGATATGCACAAACGGTAAACTGTAAACTCATTAAAGTGCTACCACACTCCTAAATCAGAGTAAAAAATAGGCAATGCCAAAAACTCTGAGAAAAAAGTTGCTAATTTGTTGAAATATTTCAACCAAGCTTGAAAAAATCAATCAAAACTGAAACTATTGATTTTGAAATTAGTTTAGAAACAAGAGAATATTCATGCTGATGATCAAATTTTGAAAACAAGAGTCATGAAAAAAAAATTATATACAAGTAGTAATTGACAACCAGTTGACATATCAAAACCAATTTAGAGCAATTTAAAAAAAATGGCACAGGTAATTTAAAAAAATATTCCGATTCGGAGGTTGTATCATCATTACGCTAGAAAATAATTTCAGTTGGGTTGTTAAAGCCTGCTACGAAGCGTCCAAATTTAAAACTCGATCTTTAAATTCTACCTATACGTTTTTCACTGCTTAATTGATTACAGATCATCACTTTATGTTCATCAATTTATAAGAGATCGCAAACCTGCGTTGCGGGTTCCAAAAGGTGCTACCAAAAGCAAAACACTAGTTGCATGACGAAACAATATAACATTGCTTACTGCAAAAGTTTATAACTCAAAATATATATTTTTAGGAAAGGTGTTGTAGTATAAAATGATCATCAACAAATAGAAAAATTTATACAGATGAAATCTAAAAAGACATTTCTTCTGAACCAATTTAGGAAATAACCAAGCCAAGTGTTGTCCAAAAAAACAATCATGAAAATTAATTAGGTTCTCTTAAAATTATTATCTTCGTCCAATATTTGTGTTAGTCTGCACTGTCTATACTCTACACTGTCTTAACTTTTGATTAATAACTGTAATTATATATCAAATTACCAATTTTAGTGTTCCTAGAATATCAGTGTTCTTGTTTTTGTTTTACAAAAAAAACTCATATTTCACACTTTGTGTTTTCAAATACGCTTTGATAGCGCACAGAAAACGAAAAAAGTGGTTCGCAAAAAAGATGAACTCCTTGTTCGAGGTTTTCATCATATAAAAGGATAAGTTTGAACAATTGTCTCCGTTAATTAATCCAATTAGGAATAAACTTGTTGCTCAATGTTGAACTTCTACCTATTTGTAGAAGATTATGATTCCAAATTTGAGCTGCTCAGAATTTGAGATTATAAATTTAAGAAAATTATAAAGGCGAAAATGAATGTGTTAAAATCAGGCGAGCATTTTGATTGTAACATTGTGTGACTTCGCAAAAATACGCACACTAATTCTCCAGACCGCCATGGCAAGAAGCCATCAAAGATTACAAAATCGAGAGTCGGTTTAAGGTTGCAATTGGGTGGTAAGGGGCTCTAAATTTCGTAATGAGACCTCTCCTCTGTTGGCAAGCTTGTTAATTGCCTCATATTAAAATTTTTGTTTTTGCCTGATATAGTTTTGCCTAATACATCCGCCTTCTTCTGTCTAAAGACGCTAATTGAAAAAAAAAACAAATCTAACCTATTTCGGAGAGCATGACTGGGTTCGTGGTTGCTGAAAATAATCGCACTAGAAATCGTCCATCCAATTTCAACTCATTGCCCAAAAACTGGTTAATCTTCTGATCCGAGTCGGAGTTGATGACGTAAGCAGTCTGGTATGAACAGCAAGTAATTCGGAAAATCCAGGAAAGAAAGTTGAAGATTGTTAGGATGGTTATTAGAATAAACCAAAACCAGACTGCAATCAGAATCTTTTGAAGTAAATCTCTGCTGTTGAGAAGACACTCAAATGTACGAGTCTGTTCCTCTGAAACATGAATTTGATTTTAACGTCATGGTACTAAAAAAACGAGCACTAGAGCTGGTATTATTTTTTTTCAATATTTTTAGACTAGCTTTTAGAAGATTGCTTAAACTACCTACGTTATCTTTTCTCACTTTCCCGAAAAACAACACCAAAACTACCAATCAATTAATGTACATCTTTACGCCCTAGATATTTTACTCCACTGCCGTTCTAACACGTACTTTACTCCAAACTACTCTTAACCCTATTTCTGCAAAACTTCAACCATTTTCAAAAGACGGTAGGCGCGCTTCACGCACATCGGCGCTTTGCTGCGAGGCCCGGTTCAAACTTTCTTACTGACTCTTACCTTCTGCTGGGGCAAGCTCGCGATACGTTGGCGCAATTGCGGCAGTCACTACTCAAAAAACAATTTGAGAATTTTTTTGAGCGATAAGAAATAAAGAGTTCACTACATTGTGTGGTGTAATATCCAGGGGTGATGAAAAAAAGCTATGTGAAATAATTGATAATTGATTGTGATCAAATAATTGGTAGTCAAGAAAATCCGAACATCTGCACATATTTTGTGTAAATTGAATGTAAAAAAGGCATAAAAATCAAATTAAATTAATAAAACCAATTTTATCGTTGCTAGAACCCGTAGGAAAAAATAACCAAACCAAGTTGACAAAATTTGGAAGTTAATTGATCTGGAATCAATTGAAATTGATTTTTTCAAGCTTGATTTTTGCATCAAATCAAATTTTTCAGTTCTTTGCTACATTAATAGTATAAAGTCGAATCAATCCAAGTCTAGTCAAAAAGTGATAATTATTTTAAAATAAAGTTTTAAAAAGTTTACAGTCACTGAAACGTTGTCGTAAAGTGCTTTTGTACTTTTGGTTATAAAATTTTGATCAATAAATACCAACACATTAAGTGTATTTAATTCGTAAGGTCTTCTACACATAGGCGTCAAACGTTGTTTGTACAAAAAATCAAATTTTAAGCTTTAAAACGTCAACAACTTTTAAATTTTGTTGTTTTTGCACTGCTTTTGTTCACTGAAAAAAAAATGAAATTAAATTTATCAAGACCCGCCAATGAAGATCCGATAAGCTGATGGGGCATTTGGCACATCTATATGTAATTTTCTAATACCATTTTAAATCAAAACAGGTGCTGATTCAGGGGAGGGAATTCAGCCCCCTCACCGCCCAAAGAATTCCTCTTAAGCTATAATTTTATAATAACAATTTCTTGCCGACTGTCTGCAAAATTTTTCTGAAGGCGCTTTTCGTGGCAGAAATCTACTCAGTTTGAGGGAGTGGTACGCTTCAAAAAAACTCTTACAAAGACCCAAAAACGGATTTATTGGTTTGTTTTGTTTTAGTTTTGCCTACGGCGCAGAAAGTTCTAACCAAATATGGCCATTAAAGTGCTTTGGTTTTGCAATATCTTTTCAGGTTACTGAATTTGAACGATGCGAATTAATCAAAAACTGCTCATTTAGACGTCGGATTTTAGTTTGCCAGTAATGTCAACACGTAAACATCGTTTTCAAAAATTTATTTAACCTAAAAAGCTTTAGTTTTCGACCGATGAAATGGGTCAAAATCACCGACATTTCGGCATTAACAATACAAAAAAGCAAAGTTTGTACCGCCTACTACTTTTTCTACTACGGAAGTTAATTCATAAATGTGTTATACAGCGACGAATTTCACTTTGCAAACACAAGCGAAAAAACTGAAAAAAAAACAGATAAAAATATTACCCATTTATATTCAATTAGCTAAACTTGTTTCAAATTAAACCAAATTTGTCTTTCAGCAACTAATTTGCCAAAAAAGTCAAATTCAACTGTATCTGAACAATTTATTCAACGATATTCATTGATTAGAAGTTTTGTAACTTAAGCAAAAAAAGAAATTGATCGAAAAAACGAAAAGATAGCGCAAATAACCCAATAAGAGGAAATAATGTCGAATTATCTGAGGGTTCTATTTGTTCATAAGATCGTCAATTTGAAACCATGCAAATTGTCACAACTGGGTTTGTAGTATAAGAAACAGTTGATTTTCATCCACAGGAAATTGACACATTTAGCCGGAATGGGCAAAGCAGCCGGCCGAGCGAACAAAGTTAAAGGTGCCGACGTAAATTGAAGCGGGCCGAAAATTGAAAGTGGAATCAGCCGTTATAGAACAATCATAGAAATAATTCTAACTAAGTTTACGGTTAAAAACACAGGGTTCTTGTTTACTGGTTTACAAAAACATGGATTCGGAGGACGAAGTTTTTTGTTAGGCGAAGTTTTTTGCCTAGCAATTTCTCCAGTTTTATGCTTCTATAGTATAGATAAAGAGTGAGATTTAGAAATTGAAAAGGAAACAACACATTTATTTTCATTTTAGGACATTCTGCTCTTTTTTTTACTGCTCCTAGATTTTACTGCAAATTCTGCTTCTAGATTTACTGCTCTTTTTTTGCTAACTTACTCGTTTTGCTAACCTACTAATAAAACCATAATACTAAGATCTTCTAAAACCTTTGAATATTTCTGCGAACCAAAATATGATTTTCCAGGAACTTTTAATATGTTACTTCATAGCTGTTTTGACAAAATTGAACCCATTTGCGGAAAAAGATAAGATCCTTTTGATTTTTTTTCAGATATTTATATGCAAAGACCTTTTATGGTGACAGTTTTCATTTATTGGTAATTTTGTTATTCAATTTGCGTTTTCTGTAATCAAGTTATCTCATCATTTTTATTAGATTCCCCAAGTTCGTCTGTTTTTGTTGCATTATTGCAAATTTTGGTTAAAAACTTCAATACTTAAAGTGAAAAAACTTCTGTTGGTGAAAAAACTAGATTTACTGCTCTTTTTTTGCTAACTTACTCGTTTTGCTAACTTACTAATAAAACCATAATACTAAGATCTTCTAAAACCTTTGAATATTTCTGCGAACCAAAATATGATTTTCCAGGAACTTTTAATATGTTACTTCATAGCTGTTTTGACAAAATTGAACCCATTTGCGGAAAAAGATAAGATCCTTTTGATTTTTTTTCAGATGTTTATATGCAAAGACCTTTTATGGTGACAGTTTTCATTTATTGGTAATTTTGTTATTCAATTTGCGTTTTCTGTAATCAAGTTATCTCATCATTTTTATTAGATTCCCCAAGTTCGTCTGTTTTTGTTGCATTATTGCAAATTTTGGTTAAAAACTTCAATACTTAAAGTGAAAAAACTTCTGTTGGTGAAAAAACTAGATTTACTGCTCTTTTTTTGCTAACTTACTCGTTTTGCTAACTTACTAATAAAACCATAATACTAAGATCTTCTAAAACCTTTGAATATTTCTGCAAACCAAAATATGATTTTCCAGGAACTTTTAATATGTTACTTCATAGCTGTTTTGACAAAATTGAACCCATTTGCGGAAAAAGATAAGATCCTTTTTGATTTTTTTCAGATATTTATATGCAAAGACCTTTTATGGTGACAGTTTTCATTTATTGGTAATTTTGTTATTCAATTTGCGTTTTCTGTAATCAAGTTATCTCATCAATTTTATTAGATTCCCCAAGTTCGTCTGTTTTTGTTGCATTATTGCAAATTTTGGTTAAAAACTTCAATACTTAAAGTGAAAAAACTTCTGTTGGTGAAAAAACTAGATTTATTGCTCTTTTTTTGCTAACTTACTCGTTTTGCTAACTTACTAATAAAACCATAATACTAAGATCTTCTAAAACCTTTGAATATTTCTGCGAACCAAAATATGATTTTCCAGGAACTTTTAATATGTTACTTCATAGCTGTTTTGACAAAATTGAACCCATTTGCGGAAAAAGATAAGATCCTTTTGATTTTTTTTCAGATATTTATATGCAAAGACCTTTTATGGTGACAGTTTTCATTTATTGGTAATTTTGTTATTCAATTTGCGTTTTCTGTAATCAAGTTATCTCATCATTTTTATTAGATTCCCCAAGTTCGTCTGTTTTTGTTGCATTATTGCAAATTTTGGTTAAAAACTTCAATACTTAAAGTGAAAAAACTTCTGTTGGTGAAAAAACTAGATTTACTGCTCTTTTTTTGCTAACTTACTCGTTTTGCTAACTTACTAATAAAACCATAATACTAAGATCTTCTAAAACCTTTGAATATTTCTGCGAACCAAAATATGATTTTCCAGGAACTTTTAATATGTTACTTCATAGATGTTTTGACAAAATTGAACCCATTTGCGGAAAAAGATAAGATCCTTTTGATTTTTTTTCAGATATTTATATGCAAAGACCTTTTATGGTGACAGTTTTCATTTATTGGTAATTTTGTTATTCAATTTGCGTTTTCTGTAATCAATTTATCTCATCATTTTTATTAGATTCCCCAAGTTCGTCTGTTTTTGTTGCATTATTGCAAATTTTGGTTAAAAACTTCAATACTTTAAGTGAAAAAACTTCTGTTGGTGAAAAAACTAGATTTACTGCTCTTTTTTTGCTAACTTACTCGTTTTGCTAACTTACTAATAAAACCATAATACTAAGATCTTCTAAAACTTTTGAATATTTCTGCGAACCAAAATATGATTTTCCAGGAACTTTTAATATGTTACTTCATAGCTGTTTTGACAAAATTGAACCCATTTGCGGAAAAAGATAAGATCCTTTTGATTTTTTTTCAGATATTTATATGCAAAGACCTTTTATGGTGACAGTTTTCATTTATTGGTAATTTTGTTATTCAATTTGCGTTTTCTGTAATCAAGTTATCTCATCATTTTTATTAGATTCCCCAAGTTCGTCTGTTTTTGTTGCATTATTGCAAATTTTGGTTAAAAACTTCAATACTTAAAGTGAAAAAACTTCTGTTGGTGAAAAAACTAGATTTACTGCTCTTTTTTTGCTAACTTACTCGTTTTGCTTTTATAGATTATTATTGTGATAATACGTTTGATTCTCGTTTGAAGAGGTGCCATTGATGAGATGCCCGTCTTAGCGTAATGCAAGTATTCCAGATTGTAGAACTGGTTGAATGTAAGCTTTGTAACTCAATATCATTTGTTTTGAAGTTAAGTATTTGCTTATTTGATAAAGAGTCCACACAACTGAAGCCTGCTGTTTTTCATTGTTTTGATGTGGTTATATAACCTTAAATTCGGATCCAGATTAACGTCTTAATAATTAAATCCTAGAGGTAATTCTATTAACTTTAAGCGCTTTTTGTTTAGACTTGGTTTTCCAACAAATATAATTGTTTTTGTTTCTTCACTGCTCAAAGTTAGTTTTTTTTTGTTATCCATGCATTAGCTTTGTCAAAGATTCTCTGATGCACATCTTTAGATTGCTGAACAATTTACCCGGGTCGAGATCCCGCTCAAAAACCGCTCAAGATTTGAGCGGTTTGAGCGGTTTTCCAGCAAGATTTGAGCAGTTTGAGCGGTTTGGGCGGTTTGGGCGTTTTTTTTGGAAAAACCGCTCAAACCGCTCAAATCTTGCTTAGAAAACCGCTCAAAAACCGCTCATTTCTTGCGGTGATTTTGAACGGTTTTTCAAGCAAGATTTGAGCGGTTTTTGAGCGGTTTTTGAGCGGTCTTCCCGGGTCGAGGTCCCAGACTCAACGTTTCTCTTCTCTGCAAAACTCGAACGAGCACGTTCATCCAGGGGCGACCAATATGTAGTAAGTTTCCAAAAAGTGCCCAAAAACAGCATTTTTGACCAGCTCTTCACGTCAACAACCCCACCCACACCCCCCCCCCCACCAACCCAACTTATCCCCCCTCCCCCCCGCCAACTTACTCCCTCCCCCCAACGTACCCCCTCAACGTATCCAACATCCAACAAACCCCCCCAACAACATACCCCCCCCCCCCCCCAGCACTTCAAAAACTTATCAAGAAGATAAAAGATGAGCACCATAGTAGTTGATCAAGCGCAGCGGAAAATATGCTGAAAGGTAACAAAACATTCAGACATGCCCGGAACTAGTTTTCTGTTCATGATTTTCATGAAATATATTAGTCCTTAACAACCAGATCAGACATGATCCAGTTCATTGAAGTTTCTATCACTATAATATATTTGTGTTCTACATTCTCGGTTTCCAACTTTAGCCCATAGAATTCATAAGTGATTCATTATTCGTGACAAAGACAGTATATTTGTTGTGCATGTTTAGCATAGACTAAGTCAGCATAGACTAACGGATAAGGCGTCTGACTTCGAATCAGAAGATTACGGGTTCGAATCCCTCTATGGGCGACTTTTTTTATTAAACCTTGCGCGGTTTTTGAGCGGTTTTTTTAGATAAACCGCTCAAAACCGTTCAAATCTTGCGCGGTTTTTGAGCGGTTTTTTTAGATAAACCGTTCAGAAACCGCTCAAACCGCTCATTTTGAAGCAAGATTTTGAGCGTAATTGTCTAAAAAAACCGCTCAAACCGCTCAAATCTTGCTTCAAATTAGGTGAAAAATCTCGACTCGGGTAGCTTGTTTCCAATACTGCAAACATTGTCATTGTTCAAAGTTGGCCTCAATAACTGAGAAACAACCGAAAAAAGAAAGCTCTGATGAATCTCCCAAAACAAGCAACTTCACAACTTTTTCTAAACGTTGGATCATAAACTTGTTTAATGCAACCAATGAAACTGCCAAGGAATTTCCTTTTAGGTGTGTTTTAGATTTTGGTTTTAGCTCGAAATCAGGTTCCACAGATAATCATCAGAAAAGGTCGAGTGTTATATCAAATAAAGATTTTTCAGTCGTGATTCGATATTTTAGTTTAAACTTACTGTTACTTTGTGTGTATCAGTTAACATTTTCGCGATTTTCCACCTAAATCAGTCCGACTTGAAATTTTTCAATATTTGTTTTAGAATAAACAGGATGGGAAGGATATGTTGTATTTGCACATCAATCGACTATACCTGAATAATTAATTGAAATCTTTATTTAATCAGTTTTTCATAGTTTGCTATCGTTGATACTCTTTTTTGCTTTAATCAGGTTAATCGATAAATTCTTTTTCAAAAGATAACATGTTTGTAGTACTTTTTTCAATGTAAACAAAATTCAAAGCGTCCATCAATTAAAACTGATAAATCACTTGACAGTGAAACAAGTTTCTTTTTGCCTTTTGACAAATGGCTGCTCGCTACTTTTCATTTTGTTAACGTTTTTTTTTGCTCCGACTTTCAAATAAAAAGCGTAATACTTATACTTGGTGCAGTTCTTCTCTATTCAGCTAATTTCAATCTAACCTAATTCAGTCACTTTTAACAAACAAATAACGAGAAGCTAGAAGTAAAGGAAAAAATTGAATATTTTTAAATTAAATATTCGCCTTACTTTTGTTTTTACTTTAAAAAAATTACTTTGATTGGTACATTCGAAACTACTTGCAAAGCATCCGGCTAACATTGTTTAAATATGAACTTGTTTTGTTAACTTACCTCCCAATAATCTAACTTTTACATCACAGAGCACAACTCCAGAATAGGTGAGCTTGGAGTACTCTCCCATCAACTCTACTAGTTCAGGACAGCACTTGTACAGGCACTGCATTACCATCGGCACCCCCACGTAGTAGAAGGAGGGGTTGACACAGAAGGTGAACATGAGAGCGGAGAAGGCAATGGCCACCAGGTATTGCAGTTGAGATACAGGTAACTGATTGAGATAAGGCATCGACATGTGAGACAGGATAGGAACGGAGAACAGTCCTGGAAAACACTTTGTAAAAAGTCCAACAATCCAATTCTTCCAGAAAGCCAACAATATGAAAGTTTTTTTAAATATGTGAAAAATTAACCTATTGGACTAAAAACTCAAAGTGGGAGTTAAAGACAAACTTGGAGGTGGGGGTTTTGTAGTTAGAATGCACTGAAATCAGCTGACCGGAGTTTTTTTTTCGCTTCACTTGCAGGTAGTTTTCCATCTGGTTTGCAGCCAGAGTTGCCACTTTTTCCACACAATGCCCACTGGAAGACAACACTGGGTTCTCCACAGTTTTCCTTAGGGAGTCCAGATCCATGCCCAGGCATCTGGAGATCATCTTCCACTCAGCAAATGGGTAGTACAGTAGGAGGGCTTCAAACATGCTTTTTTCATTTATTTTTCAAGCCATCCTCTTTTCCCTTCATTGCTCTTCAACCAGTGAGACAAGTTGATATTGGAATTTTTTTGCTGATATTGGAAAGTTTGCTGAAACTTCAAACATTAAAACTGGTCGATAATATAACGGTTCCCCTAAATTTGACGATTTTTTTGTCTAGCGTAGAACAGTTTCAAAAAATGCGTAAAAAATGATGTTTGCTGATAATTGTTGTGGTTGGAGTAGAGAGATTTGTTGTTTTTTGTTATTTAAGATTTAAAACATCAATTTAGTCAGCCTGTTCAAAACGTTCTGATAAATAATGCAGCGGACAAGAGTCGACTCTAAACAGTTTTTAGTAGTGCTTTTAGTAAGTGCTTACAAAGAGGTCACCCTGCTGATACAAACACATTTTCATCGTTATGCATCAGTTCACTTTTGTTTCAATGCACAAAAAAAGAAAATTGCGTTTGTGTAGACTTTTTCCTCTTCTAGTGTTTATCAGGAAACTGTAACATGGGATCGGTGATGTGTTAGAATTAACTGTTTTCAGATCTGTTATATCATTGATGTCAACTCTTATGCCAAGTATTGCATTCCAGAAGCACAAATTATCATTTGTTTTACTAATTTTTCTTTTGTGTATATGACCAGTATTTAACCTTTTAAAATCTATTCTCAGAAATTAAGTAAGAGATAAAAATTTTAACTTCTTGAGCATCATGTCGTGAGCGCTTAGAACCTAAAATTTTTTCAGTTAAGTTTAAATAAGGTTGCATCGGGTTTCAATTGAATGAGAACATATTGGTCATCAAAATTTTACTTTTAAAAGACAAAGATGCTTATCATACAATTTTTATTTATGAAAATTGTTTGAAAAGCATTCTTTCCATAAAAATTTAATGCTCTCGATCTTTTTGGTTGCTAAATTTTTGTTTTCAATTTTATTGAAAAAGATAAAACCAATTGTTTGCATTCGGAATAATGAGAAAGCACATTCTTACCAGTCAGAAGAAAAAAGAGTGGTGCGTTCTTGGTCAGGTTTTCAACTGTTTCAGATCCCATTTCGACTTCGTTGGGGGACTCCGACATTGGTATGTAAAAAAAGTCAGCTGCGGCACAATAATCCGACATGTATTCTGCCTGTTTCGTGCCCATTTCAAAGCCAGTGAAGCAAGTCGCTGGCTCACCTGAAGACAAAATTTTCTAAGACAAAAATTTTGCCTGACAAGACAAAAAAGAGATTTGATACATTTCAATTTTTCATTTCACAAAACATCATCAATGAAGTTGACAAATCAAGAAGCACATTTAGCTGCTCTTGTTGTGCATTATTGTCTCTCTTGAAACGCCAAAAGTCACAATTTATGTCTGGTTTTCTGATCGTTTTTTTTTCGAAGTATGCTCTATCAAGATTATAAAAGATTGGCACCTAAGGCAACTTCAGAAAAGAATGCATTTTGATTTTACAAAGAAAAGAATGCAATTTACATTTTAGAAAGAATATTTGATTTAAATTTACTTAGAAGTAGTTAGAACATAGTTGAAAGATGCCCGACGGAAAAAGAGCCCGGCCTGAGGGTACAAAGGGCCAGATAGCGGCTCTTTTGACCGAGGCCATCTTCAACTATGTTCTAACTGTTTAAGAGTATGTTTTTGCTCTTTCTGAGGGAAAGATGCCAGAAAATTGTGAAATAGCCCAGAAAAGTGCGCGAAAATATGCAAATGATTTTTTTTCATTCATGCTTTCTAACATTTCATTTTCATTCATGCCTTGTCGTGAAAGAACATGTGTGAAAGAGCGAAAACATACTCTTCTTGCATTACATGCGCCTTTTAGCCATTTGGCAATTCGGGAAAAAAACAATGGACAGTAAGATCAAAATATTGCCTTCAGTGCATTATTCATAAATGCGCGTCATATAACCAGATCAAAGCTGACCCTTTTGTGGCTAGGTTGTCAAATAATTGAACGAGAGGAGGCGTTGCCCCACGTCCTAAAAAACCTATGACTCAGACAGTTTACTGTCGTTCGAATCATGACTGCAAGTAACTCAAAATGATAAATCACTTGACCTCGTATCCTCGTGATGTGTCCGTGTAGCTTACATGTTCTTGTGATGTCTAATTGTTTTAAAAAATATATACAAGAAGGCAAAAATCCTTTCCACACCGCGATCGAAACAAAACACTCGATAAATAAAACAGGAAAAAATTCAGAATATTTTGCGAGTTTGCAACTGGATTGAGATTTGCTTGTGACCCAATAACGGTGCGTGGTAATCAATCAATTCATTGCAATTATGGGTATTTTTTGAACCAGATCACAAGTCTAACCAAATGACAATACCATCTCGCATCTATTTGTTGCGAAAATTTGTGCTCGACAAATTTTGACTATTTAACCAGCAAATTTCGCAACTTTGAGGAAACTTTTCTATACAGTGTCAAACAAATGGGTGCACTGTCCACACAGGAGTTTCATGGATAAAATAGATTTCAACAGGAAAACTTTGTCTAAAGTATTGTCATTATATCTCCTTCCTGTCTTAAGTTCAGATAAAAAAATAGATAATGTTATCATAATAATCGATTATTTTAGTGAATACAAAATCCATCATCAGCGATTATAATTCATTTCTCACAGTTTTTAAACTCAAATTTTCCTCTCGAAATGTATTTGCAAAAAGAATTTCGGAATTTTCAGCAATTTCTGCAAATAACACGCAGCCTGCTCAAATTTTAAGTCTACTCAGTTTTACTTCACCGATTTGGATGGGAACATGGCAGTGAGTGTGTGTGTGTGTGTAAGAGTGTGTGTGTGTGCGTGTGTGTGTGTGTGTGTGTGTGGGGGGGGGGTGGGAGGTTGGTTGAGGGGCGGTGCGGTGATGCAAATAGAATGTCGAATTACATAAAAGTCAACGAATGGTTATAAACTAGAAAAGAACAATGTGTGAACTTGAGAAACTATTTCGAAAATAGAAAAAAAAAATCTCTTGATACAAGCCAAAATTTGATCTCACTAAACCAATACAAGGTTCAAATTTTGCTGAAATTGGTTTGAAGTTCAGCCAGGCTTAAAAAAATTTAAACAGAGGCGAAGTTGCCCTTCGCATACACAACCAAAAGTATGACTGATAACGCTACTGGGAAATACTGAATGCGAAAAACTTTGAATCTACATAAATTCTAAAGTGACGCACGCCAATTGTGAGTCTACATAATTACTAAGTGACACAGGCCAAATAGGACACATTAACAGTACCAGTCAACTTCAAAAAAGAAATTTACCAACCAACATGAGTAGTATGCATATAGTGCGTTAGGATGGGGGGGGGGGTTGTCATACATGGATGACCATTAGGTATAAATCATAATGGTCACCATGTATTAAATGATCAGCAATGGTCACCATGTAATAATCCTAATTGTCACCATGTTTAATTTTATACCTAATGGTCACTATGTAATAATCCTAATTGTCACCATGTATAATTTTATACCTAATAGTCCTCATGTAAAACTTCGGTATATTATTGAGTATTCCCACTGAACGTTGTGGAAACGGGAATGGAATTAAGTTTTAGTCGGTGCATGTTTTCCCTTCTAAAGTTTGGGGTTATTGGCTTGTTTACATGTAAAATGACGTTATATACCTATTATATGCGACCAAACTATATGGTATTTAGGAAAGCACAAGATTTTGGCAGCGTAGCTTAACTGTTGGCTGCGGTGAACGACTTCCTTCAAAAATGCATGTTTTATTGCTGAATCTCGAAGAAAGCAAAATTCGTCAAGTGCGGCGGCCGCCACCTCTATTTAGGCAAAAATTAATAATCAATTTGACCGAAATAAGAATGAAAAATTTCGTTCAGCCAAATGAAGGTAAAAACAAAGAAAAACTACGAAACACTGAAAACTCTAAAATAATGAAATTGGCTTAAAAATTTCGACATTTCCTTTTTCCGTGTCTACAGGAGACTGAAAAAATCTCTAAAATCTATGACAAAAGCTTTGATTTTATAGAAAGGTTGAAAGAGCTAATAAGTTGAAGTGGGTAAAGATCTTGAAAAACGAGAACACTGATGAAAGCCAAAAGTGCCGATTAATTTTGCTGCAGCCATTTCTAAGACTTGCATATACCACTTTTTATAATAAAAAAGAAACAAGATTCGGGGCTTCTAGAAAACGTTTAGTATTTCCTATTAACTTTTTTGTGCTAACAGAAATTTTGAAAATGTCCATCAAAGCGGACCTAGAAACTGGGGGAAAACTGTTATTTGTGTGCCAATATATACGACAGAACAGAGTAACCATCGAATAAAGCAGGTGAAAACTTATTTGCGACTTTTAAGGAAAGCAGCTACTCAAATTAGAGCAAATTCAATCGGGAAAGACTGAACACAAACTAAGACAAGTAATGGATACAAACTCAAAACTTGATATGAATTCGGAGTTATAATTTGAGCATCCAAAATTTTTGATTTTTCCATTAAAAGAATATGCAATTGAATAATTTTTAATTTGATACTACAATCTAGTCAACTGTTCTCAGTATCTTCTAATTAACTCAATTTGGCTTTATCAAGAGTTTTCTATTCAAAATTTTGAAGCGCTATCAGTTATTATGCAAAAAGGCGTAAGCATTTTGACCTATTCATAAAAAGCTCTATCGACTAAATAAATCTTGAATTTAAAAAAAGTGGTACTGACTGTTTATCTGATTACACAATTGCTTCACTTCTGTGGGTTTATAACTTTGATTCAAAATTATGATTTTTCAAATGAAAACCATTGAAAATTTGTGGTTTTTAGAGATTGATCAATCATCCTTCAAATATACAGTACCTGTCACTGAGACTTTGCTCGCTTACCGTCTTCAGCTCTACCAGCCGCATGTCTGCACGATCAATGATTTTCCTCACTAAACCATAATTTTTTTCTTTTCATTTTCTTATCGTAATTTTTACCTCTATGAGCAACAGTTCATCAAACACTTTGGACTCCATGCTGTCTCCAATTGGACTTGTTGTTTGATGCTTCCATCGACAAAATTTTGTGAAAATTTGAAAACTGATCTTTCTTGTTACAATTTTGAAACCTTTTTTCATAATCATTGACTGCAGGTAAATTGAAATTATCAATGCAAGATATGCCACTTTTTCATAGTGAAATGTTCATAATGAGGATACCTGGAAGATCATATATTTTGAGGAAAATTTTTTTTCAAAAAAATTAACAAATTGTTTTGCAAATCAGGAAAGAGAAAAAAAACTGTCATTATAGTGTCTGGTTGATAATTCTAGAATATTCGAGAAACTTAAGAAGAAAGATAAGAAAGATTTGGATTGAGTTACATATATATGTTTTTATATGAAATAAAATAAACGATTACAACTAAACTCAAACATATATACCCCAGCAAACATATAAAACTGCATACTTGTAAACATAAAAACATAAACATATTTTCATAAGTTTCAAACTTAAATGCATACTCACAAAAAACAGTCATGCGTATTTTGTTACAAACATACGTTTATCCGTACACATTTAAATACTTACATAAGGTTAATCATGCAAACTTACATACAAAAACAATTACGTACACACTTACTGAATACAAACATACATACATGTATACATAAGTACAAACTTACATAAACACATACATACATGCATACATAGATACATACATACAAACTTACTTATATACATACATATATAAAGTTACTTAGAGACATTCATACAACCATACATACAAAATTACATACATATATGCAAAAATACTTCGTTACATACAAACATTCAAAAAAGAAGTCTTACATAAAGGTATGAATACAAACGTACATAGTCTTATACATAAGAAGAATGCAAATAAACTACCATACAATCATAAATTTTACATACTTGCTTACATGCTTTTAAACCTGCAAACAATTGTACGAAAATTTTGCTTTAACACATGCAAAGATTTTGACTTAATATTTCTGCTGACCTTTACAATAGAACCACTTTTAAACACACAAACCAGCTTAATTTCACTTCACACTTTCAAGACGAATATATACACACATTCAGACAAAAAGAGTCAGGCATTAGAGACTGGCATTCATGCGTCTTTACATACAATCATATAAACGTGCCTTTCATACTCATATACGAAAATGCATAAGTACTTACCT